GCGTTTCCTGACGAAGAAACTGCTGCTCTAAGAATTGCTGATGAGAAGGGTTTGCTTTGGTGGAATCCTCACCCACAACTATTTCACATTTGGGGACAAAGTATACCTTCAAGTCAGCAGCACTGCTATGGGTACCTGCATGGCACCACAATATGCCAACATTTTTATGGCTGGATTAGAACAACACTTCCTCAGCTCCCGTCCCCTAACGCCCCTACTCTACTTGTGCTACATTGATGACATCTTCAGCATATGGACCCAAGGGAAGGAGAGTCTTGAAGAATTCCACCTAGATTTCAATAATTTCCACCCCACCATCAACCTCAGCCTGGACCAGCCAACATGAGAGATCCACTTCCTGGACACTACAGTGCAAATAAACGATGGTCACATAAACACCACCCTATACCAGAAACCTACTGACCACTATACATACCTACATGCCTCCAGCTTTCATCCAGACCACACCACACGATCCATTGTCTACAGCCAAGCACTAAGATACAACCACATTTGCTCCAACTCCTCAGACAGTGACACAGGGCACGCGGTTTTGAGGCTATTCATGACTGGGAGAGTGTTAGGGTCATCTTGCTGGCTGTCACCAATGCTCATGGAATCCAGAATGTGACTGGTGTGGTGCTGACAGGCTGCACGCTCATGTATGATGGCTGTGAGCAGCCCAGATTGGGAGCTACAGCAGCAAGGCATTGTTACGTGACACAACCCCTCACTGGTCTGGATTGCACTCCCTAAACTGTGAACCCCATACACTGTGATTACAAGAGCTTTAAGTCATAATCACATGGTTATTGTATGGTGTTACTACAGGGCAGAGTTGAGGTTCCCTGGGTCCCCTAACTATGCCTTTCTATGTCTTAAAATAAATTCGAACATGCTAAGTTTAACCTTAACTCTAAAGTTCCTGGGTTTGATAAAGTTTGTTTTGGGCATAATTTCAACATCCCTGTTATGTAGTTTACCCTAAATTACAGATATGTTTTCTCAACCTTTATTATGGAACTATATAAGACATTTCCATAGAGTATGATTTTAAAAAAATCAGTGGGCACTCAACACTTTAAAGCATCCCATTTTCATCCACAATCCCTTGGCAATGGGACTTGGGTACTTTCACTACTTCCAGGGGAGCACATGAGTTGGGAGGTGTCAGAGTTCTCTCCCCACTCTGAACTCTGGGGTACAGATGTGGGGACCTGCATGAAAGACCCCCTAAACTTATTTCTACCAGCTTAGGTTAAAACTTCCCCAAGGATGCTTTCCTTGTCCTTCGACAGTATTGCTGCCACCACTAAGTGATTGCAACAAAAATCCAGAAAAAGGGCCACTTGGAGTCCCTGTTTCCCCCAAAATATTTCCGCAAGCCCCTTCACCCCCTTTCCTGGGGAGGCTTGAGAATAATATGCTAACCAATTGGTTACAAAGTGAGAACAGACCAAATTCCTGGGTTTTTAGGACACTGATAATTGATCAGGTTCTTAAAAGAATAATTTTATTTTTTAAAAAATAAAAGAATCACACCTGCAAAATCAGGATGGAAGGTAACTTTACAGGGTAAATAAAAAGATTTAAAACACAGAGGATTCCCCTCTAGGCTTAGCTTCAAAGTTACAAAAAAACACGAATAAAACTCCCGCTTAGCATAGGGAAAATTCACAAGCTAAAACAAAAGGATAATCTAACATTTTCTTGCCTTACTTGCAATTTCTGTAATTTTAGATGTTCATTTCAGGTATTTTTTTAGGAGATGTTTTTTCCTGCCTGGTCCCTCTCTCCACCCAGTGAGGAAACAAACAAAGAGAGCACAAACAACACCTCCCCCCCGAGATTT